GAGGGCCCAAATATCAATCAAATACAATCAACATAGTCTCACAATCAAAAGAGAGAGCAAAAGCAGAAAAGGAAAAGGAAAATAAATACTACAAGGTCTGTCATCGGGCTAACAGGTGCCCGGAATAAGTGAATAGTCAGATGAGAGAAATGAAATCTACTAAAACCGAAAAGATGGGTATCCAAGCTGGTCCATCCGTACCAGCGTGCGAAGACAGAGTGGAGCAGTGGTGTTGGTCTAATACGTGTGGAGGTCCGGTGTGGTGGCACCAAGGCTGGCTAGGTAATCAGCAGGTCTGTTCCCTCACGGAAGATGTGCGTAATCCTGTGATGGACAGACTGTTTGTCCCGTTTTTTTTGCTATTTTCGTTGATATCCTGTGTGTCGTTTCCCCCGTTTTAGGTCTTTTCTTAGGTATTTTCGGTCCTCTTTGTCATTTCTTATGCTCTTATCTTTATTTCGGTGTGTTTAGTATTTTCTTTGCTTTCCTTCCTTTTTCTCTTTGTTTTTCGTGTTTTTCCGGTTGTGGTGATCTCAGGTTTTAGGTTGCTCGGATTGGAGAGCATTCAGTCGAGAGGAGAGCGTGTTGATCGAACATCAATTTGTGGGCTCAAACTTACGAGAATCGAGTTTCCCGCTCGGGCAGTACCCGAGAGACGCTAGCCGAGCTTACAAGCCCGTAATGTGAAGTTTTTGATGTTGTCCATCCCTTAGCGCCGCTAAGAAGCCTTAACGCCGCTAAGGTCAGTTGGTTAGCGGCGTTTTATGACTTAGCGGGCCAGAGAGTAGCAACTAATGAAGGCTTAGCGGCGCTAAGGAACCTTAGCGCCGCTAAGGTGGCTTAGCGGCGCTAAGAACCCTTAGCGCCGCTAAGGTCTATTTTGTAACAGTTGCGCGATTTCCGTAATTTCGAATTTGGAATGTTATTGCTCGAGCTTAGGTCATTTTCTGGGGCATTCAGACTTCGTTTTGTGGATACTTTTCACCTTAGAACATATTTTTCTTGCACTTTTCATCTTGAATTAGCTTTTGGATGGAAGAACTCCTTTTCTAGCTTTTGGATTTCGGATTGCTCGTGTTTGTTCGACATTGGATTCAAATTAATTGTAAGCACTTCTTTTCTTACTTGATATGATGATGATGTTTGCTTGGGTTAATGTAT